AACTTTGGAGCCCTCTCCCTGATTAATGTTTCCTTCTCTAGCTCCAGGCAAGCTCATTGATGACAGATGTAACCATAACTGTACTAGGGGAAAATTAACTTTGTAAGCTAATATATTAAGTGGTGTATGTTTGCAGAAAAAGGATTGCTGGACTTTAAGAAAAAAATTTATGTTAATTTTTACAAGGAAAAAATTGCTTTCCCACCTTTTTAAAGTCAGCTATTTCATCTAGAAGAGAGAAAGTTAACGGAGCAGAGTATTAGAAGTGTGAGGACCAAATCCTGAAATAATGGATAGACGAGTGACAGCAAGGTGTTGCTCTACCATCTGTAACTGGCCTAGATGTTGTGGAAGCATGAGAGAGACAGAATACTTTGTGGTAGTGCCAATCTAATGCAAGAAAGTAATCAAGAAAACCTGTATCCTACCTAGCTGAACAGCAAATTCCTGAAAAACATGACTAAATGAAAGAAGCTGGGATATTAAGCAGTCATGGGCAGGTTTTGATATTTCGTACAAGATAGCTTTGCTCTGCTATGGCTTTATATATTAGTTTGAATATGATTAATAATAAATAGATCTAGCTATAGAAAGCTGCAAGGCTTCTTCTGGGAACTTCAGTCCTGTAAATATGTTTCCTGCTTGTCCTGAGTTGACTGAAAGTTAAGTTTTTAGAAAGACAGTGCAGAGTCAGCTTAGAGGCAGAGGGTATTACTTAAGGCTTAGTTCTATGATAAAATTGACATGACCTTGTACTGTAACGCTTCACATTTTCTGTATTCACACATAAGTCTGATGGAAACAAACTTTCTGCACGTTATAGTCATACAGATTATATATATATTGTGTGTGTATATGGTGTTTACATACTCCATATACATACTGTACTAGAGTTTAATGTGACATGCTAAGAACTGTTGATAATTTCTGAAGTGAGGAAAAATAAATCTAGAGGCCGGTTAAGACTTCCTTAGTGGAAAGTTGGCTTGGAATACCTGACAATTGAGCACATACTGTATTGCTGCTTCGTGAAGATAGTTTCCTAATTTTGTCTCCAGACCTGGTCAGTCTATGAGATACATCTCTTAAAATGGCTTACTTTTGTGGTGTCTGCAGAACACATTTGTTTTGGGGAACTGCCAGTGTTTCAGCATTGTCTGTCTATAGGAGAAAAGAAATGAAAAAGGCAAAATTTTGACATTTCTGGAGTATAATGGTGTTAACTTATTTCACGTACCTGTTTGGACTAGAGTGATCTCTTGAAACCTATGTATTTAAAAACAAACAAACAAAAAACCCAAACAAAAAAATGAACCCAAATGCAAACAAATATTTGTGAATACCTGCTTTCTCTGAGAAGTAGCAGACAAGATATGTGTAAAATCAGTTTCTAATGAGTTTCCATCTCTATGATAATGTAAGATCTTGTCATTTGCTTTCTAGAGATAATGGCAGGATTTTGATTTGGTCAATGCGAAATGCAGAAGTATGTTTTCAAGCAAATTCCCTTGATTCAGTGCCATTCTGAATTCACTGGCATACCTGCTCAGGGGTGTTTGACTTGCTGTGAATATGCGTAAGGTGACCTTTTTATGGTCAGTGTAGTACAGCTTTATTATCCAGTGATGTTTCGTTTGTGCCAACAAAGCCATTATCCCAAGTCAGATGTCTTTCCAGGGTGTGTTTTTGTCTGTCTTCTGTATGGTTACAATCACTTGTGTAGCTCATCAGTTCAGAAGTGTAGTTAAGAGCCTAATGTGGAGGAAAGGAGCAATTAGGTCATGTAAATGTAGCATTTTGTAGAGTAGGCAGGGTCAGCTTTATGAGAGGTTTTAATAGGTGATCTCTGCTGACGGTAAATGTTTATCTGTTTAGAAAAAGGTGTTGTGGAGTTGCGGGGAGGGCTGACTGCTCTTTGAGACACAGGCCTCACCCACCAGGGCCCTGTCCCGCTGCCCTGCATCATGGTGAGCCGGGTAGGCCAAGTGATGGTAACTGGGTTCAGCCAAGAGCTCAGATCATCAGGAGAGTTCATGATGATGAGGTGGGTCAGAAGACAAGTGGGGAAGTCAGTCTGTGGATCAGGTTGAGGGCTGAAGCCTGGTGAGGGTAATCAGGTGGGAGACAGCTCAGTGATCTCTCAGAAGCACCACGGTGAGCTCAGGAGGTCAGCCTGTGGGCTGAGGTTTGAACTGCGGGCCCATGGCACGGGGGCAGCTGTGGCTGAGGTAGAAACCAGCACTGCTGCAACATGGCTCTGGCAGGGACCCAAGTGAGGTCCCAGAGTGAGCTGAACTGGGGCTCCAGGGCCAAGGGTGTGGTGTGGGTGCAGCCCCCAGCTCAGGCTGGGCAGGGCCTTTGAGGCCTAGTAGTGCTCTCAGGACCCTGACAGGCAAAAGGCTTTAAAATCTGTCAAACCTTAAATCTATTAAGTGTGATAAAGAACAGATTTTTTTTTTTTTTTTCTCCTTTTTAGTCTTCTTGTTGAAGCAGTGCAACTGAAGCATAAAAGGTAGTTTTCAAGTTTTCAATTCAAAGTTTTTTGTCCATTCACGATGTTTGGCTGGAGTAAACCACAGCTGGGAATCTGTGACTACCTATTCATTTTCCATTCTTACCAGAGAAAAGCAGGCGTGAGGAAGAGATAATAGTATGTCCTGGGGTGGGGGCTGGAACAGCAGCCTGGGGAAGTATCGCTATCGTGGGCCTCTTAGATTGGCAGTAGTTGGGGACAGGATTATCTTTGATGTCAGCAGATCTCATGTGACATACCTAAGCTCAGTTGCTGACTTAGTATAGAAGAACACATCTCAGATCAATGGAAATAGTACACTAGTCTGAAAAAAATTTGGAATAAGAGAAAAATGGTAAACTGTAAAGAAAAAGAAAAATGAGCTAAAGCTCAGTAATACCATAGCTGGATGAACTATAGATGCTCAGGTATTATGGTATGAGGAGAGGAGGAGTAAGAACTGGTTTGGAAAATTTCTTCTCTGTAGTCCTGTTTGTCTTCTGCCTCTATGCAGATGGAAGATCACCTGTCCTCACTTAAAACAGTCTCTGAGTAAGAAAAAACTTAGTCCTAGTTTGTGTTTTCCTGCTCTTGTTCTGGTGCTGTGTTTTATAGATATTTCAATCCTCTATGTACATACTGTCCCCTGTATGATTCTTTCATATGCTTGAATAGCATATTGTCTTGTTGCATTCTTTGCTAAAGTTGTATATGTATTTTTGGGCAAGGATCAATATGAACAGACTATTTCAGTCCAACTTTCATTGCAGCCAGGTTTGACACACTGAATGCTCAGACCTTTTAAAGTCTATGGCTGTGTTTTGGAAACTTGTCCAAAAGTGTGCAAGTCATTCAAATTTAGCACAGTGCCCATGTACTGTGCCACCAGTACCCATTTGTGGTACTGGTTTGCTAGTTTTGGAATTTTTATGAACCCCTTATTCTTGGTTAGACAGTACTGTTTGGGAGGAAAAAAAGTAATTTGGAAGGACATGTGATTGTTTGCATAGGATGCAGCAAAGTAAGAAATGGCTGAGAATATAAGGCAGCTAGACTGAAGTGCTGTATTAACGTGCTGTTGTACCTCTAGGTCTGTAGCTTCCTTGCAGCACAGGAGAAAAGAAGGCATTCTGTTGTCTTGCAGCATAATTGTAGGAAGGGTAGCTTGGTTGATGAGAACAAGGGTCTGTGTTTAAAAACAAGTTACACTTTTTGTTGAGAGTGTGCTGCATAAATTGTAGATGCTTTGCTGAAGTTGTAGGTGCACTAGTATTTAGATTTGAACACACAGGGCAATGAAGTCATTCCTTCACAGTGAAAATTGATTTCTATATTAGTTTATTGACAATGTAAAAATATATTAAGTATTATGCCTAAGAGAATAATTGAGTTTTCAAATTGGGATGATCAGTGGGTTAAACCATTGTCTGCTTGTTTAATGTGCTCTCTCTTTCTCTCTCTCATTTTTGTGTGTTTTTGTTTACCGTGTCTCTCAGATTTCCAAGTTAGCCTGAGGAAGTAAGATGCAATGCTATGTCTAATGCACATCTTGCAGTAAATGAGATTTTAAAAACATAGGACTGGTTCATTTCATATTGAATGCTCTGTTCTTTAGCCATAAACTTACAAACTTGATGCAGTGAGAAGTAGATGCTGTGGTGCCTTTGTAACTAATGTGTATAGAAACTGAGGCATTGCAAAGGAGAATAATTAGAAAGGCTTAAGCTTGCTTTAGAGCAGGCTGTGAGCAGTTTTGTATGTTTTGTTGTTCAGTCTTCATTGTGCCTCTTCTCATCATTTGAAGCTGGTGCCACAGGCTTTTATTGTTCTGATGCAGTTTTTTTTTCCTTTCCTTTTTTATTTTTCCCCTGTTAACTGGTCTCCTTCACCTCAACCATTCTGCAAATATCTACTAGGCTTTTTTTTCTAAGGGACAAGATGCAGAAGGAGAGTGAGAATGCCTAGAGTAAAACAGGGTGAGACAGGAGGCTCCGTATCATCCTGATGTTGACTATATGGGTGTCCCATATGCTCAGGACATATGCTGGTGGGGCAGGGAAGCAAACACAGAAATTTGTTTAGGTACAACAATAGCAGAAATCCTTGCTTAACCCTGTCTGCACATCTGTCCTTCTCTATTGCTTACAAAGAAAGACATGGCTGGGAGGAAAGACACTTAATTTCCAGGCTGGTTTTCTCCTAGGAAAACTATGCTTAAAAAACAGCTAAATATGGACAGTTCATGGTGCTGGTTATAAGACACAGTAACAATTTGGGTTGCTATACACAAACTTTGTTAATGTCTCGTGAGATAAAGATGATTCAGTTGTAAGTACTGATGTAGCCCATTCTCACCACCTTTGATGAATTTAACTCAATGTTTCCTTAAACAGAATAGAGAGAGAGAGAAAAAAAGTTATACATTTCTTGTCAGTTTTGAAGTTTTCGAGTGCTTTTGGAAATGAACAGCATGTTCTTTTGCTGACAGGATTTGAAATCTAGCAATCAACGAGATGAGATTGCTGCAGCACGTGCATCCCTGAAGGAAAATTCCTCTCTCCTACATTCAATATGTTCAGCTTGTTTGGAACATTCAGATGTTGCATCCCTTACAGCCAGCAAGGATTCAATTTGCAATGAAATACAGAATGCTCTTGATACAATTTCTAATGCTTCCCAAGGAGTTGGAAATAAAATGGAACAACCTGCATCTCACACAGCTACTCTTGGAAGTGCACTTGATGAGCTTGAGGTATGTAAATGTGTGAGATTGCAATGTATTTTGAGAAATGGTTTATATATATTTAAAAAAAAAAAAAAGACATTGCTGTCAGAAGTGACAGACCTAAAGGTCTTGGAAATTAATACTCTGCTTAGTCCTAGTTCCAAAAGAGTTTGGAATGAATTCTTCATGTATGTTCAATATTTGGCTTCCTTTGAACAGCAGGAAGTGTTAGTTCCAAGTGTGTCACTGATGATGGAGACAGACACATGCTTGGGTAAGTGAGGAGAACCCATGGGTTTAGTTCACAGCTAACAGGGATTATCAGATTATGGTGATCACTGCTACCGTGACTGCATTTGACTAGTACAATGCAAACTGAAGTCTTTTACTGCAAAACTGGTAATTGGGATCATTATGTGATTTATATAAGTGAAGGATTTAGAAACCTAATTGTGTTTTCTGATTACCATGAGATAAAATGGTGTAACTGATATGCTTTCTCAAATTGTGCATTTCTACTTCCAGTATTTAAGGGAATACTTGGAGAAATTCAGTCCTTTCTCTAGTCCTGACCTGATCCTAAGCTTTTGTCTGAAGCATTTCCTTTTTCTTATGGCTGCTCTGGCTCATATCAGTGTTATTTTCCATTGTCCTACCAAAAATGGTGAAAGTCTTGCTGTAGATGACGTTACACAGGTAGCTGATGTACACTCAGATTGACAAAAGGAATGAGAGTTTCTGGATGCATAAATATGCATCTTCTTGGTTGTAAATTCCCAACCTTATTAGATCTCAGCCCTAGAACTCCAATATTGTTGATAGATTTTTAGGAGAATTGGTGTTAGGACTGATGGCAATAGATTTTGTCTAAAAATTCCAATGAAAGGTTAGAGAAATGCACTGAAATACCACACAAATCTTGTAGTGGCAGTTTATTGATCAAAACAGACCACTCAGTTGGGCGTAGTGTGGATTCTGAAATTTTTTTACCCCCCCAAAGGATCAGGCTACACTTGCATTGTGTCATGTGTCCTTACTTCTCACACTGGGTTTTAAAATTATAGTTTCTAACCAGTTTTTGTAATAAATGGAGGAAAAAAGAAACATTTAAGAGTAATACAAGATTTGTTTGAATGAAACTCTGCATTGATATACTTTAAATGAGAGCTATTATTTACCTGGTTTACTTACAAATATTTTAAACAAAATTTGACAAAAGGATTGCATCTTCTGACTCTGGATGAATTAATCTTCACTCCATGTAAGCAGTACCATATAAACTTTTTTTTTTTCCAAAATTAAATTTATTATTGTTTTAAAATTTAAGATTTGTGATAATCACAAAATGGAAGAAATTGTCTTTTGGACTGAATTTGATCTTATTTGGAAGCTTAAAAAATAAAAGTCTGACAGTTGTAAAAAGCCATTTGTTTATGGATTTTTAAATGTATTTTTATCTAGGTAACACAAATGGGAATTGAAGCTGTGTAAGTTAGATAAAGTACAATTTATGGAGCATTTAGCTTCTTAAAATGATTTTATGAGTTGGATGGTTGCACTTTTCTTTCTTTACAGTAAAGTTCTATTTGCTAAGGACCTGAAATAACCTTTGCTCTATCTTCTTGTTGCAAATACAGTGCCATGAAATAGATTGATGTAGTAAATAGTCTGTTGGGAACAAATCTCATTAAATGTTTATAGTGTGGGAATGTATCACAGGGCTTACCCAACAATCTAGTATCTAGATGTTTTGCAATGTCATTTTTTCTTTGCCAGTGCTGGCAGCGTGGAAGTTACTTATAGGTGAGGAAACAGCCAGTAAAATTAGAGCAGCTGACTCTTAAATCAGTAGATTCTCAAGAATTCCTCTTAAAGGCTCCATATAACTACTATGTCACTCATAAATAAATGCAAAATTGTAACGTTACAAAATTAATTGCCTATTAAGGTCTGCATCAAAAGAGCATGTTAGGTGCAGGTTACCTAGGGTCTTTAGACTCATCTTGCATCTTCCAAATGGGAAGAGGTTTCTCACAAAATAATGCACATCTGCCTCTGTTGGCATGTTCATCTGCTCTGTGGCCCTTTAACGACCATGGCTGTCTAGCAGAGCAATTACATACGAAACATCAAAACACTGTAAATCAGGCCAGAGTGTCAGGAAAGTATAACCAAGGTTCTCGATACTTATGATCCCTCTTTTTCATCAGAGAGAAGACCAAAGAGAGAGCAAATACAGACTCTGTTAACTCCTTTGAAATGCTCACTGAGTCTTAAGACTTCAAGCTAACCAGTCTTTAGCCCTGTTAAAGCAAACCCACCAGACTGCTTGTTGCTGTTTCTGTGTAGATGTACTCGTCATGAGTAGCTGATGAAACTGATTGAAGAATTTAATCTGGGGCAGAATCTTGTCTTACCTTCATGGTTATTATTGTCTAGATTTTTTAATTATTACTATTTAGAGATGAACTGCAGTAACTTTTTCTTGGTGGTACTATTTGCTAGCTAAAGATATTTGTCTAGCTTTGCATGAACTTTCTACAAACTGTCTCCTGAAGGAAGACATTAATACTCCCATTTCCTCCGAGATTTGAAAGCATAATGGCTAATTGGTAGCTAAATGTCTAATTGGCTGGAGCCTTCAGATGTGTCTTGGTTTGCCACAGTCCATGAAGCTGTTTCTTTCTGTAGTAACACTTCAATAATCTACTTGGCAGCTGTATTTTACGTTATGATGGACATTGCACACATAGCCCAGTGCTGAGGGTGCTTACCTGAGCTGTAGGAGCACAACAGTGCTCCAGTGAATAGTGGCTAAGTGGCACAACTCCAGCAGAGGTGAGGTACCACAGAACACTTTGGTATTAAGGACAGTAATATGAATAAGGGAGGCAGAGTATCAAATCTCTAAGAGAAGTAAACCTGTCTTCCACATCAGAAATGATGCCCTGACCTTTGGAAACTGACTGTGTCTTAGGACACTTTCCATTGTCATTTCTTAGAAGATCATTGTGGATGAGTCTTTCATATACAAGATTAGTTTGAAATTATCTATTGAGTATAAGTTTAAAAAGGTGAACTTATAACATTAATGAATAGTTTTATGTAGTTTTCCAAATCTGTACTAATATGCTAGTTATTTAAGTAAAAGATTTCTCTGTCTTGATTTTGCTAAATTTGGATATAGCTAAATTAATGGAGGCATAGATAATGCAGTCATTAAATACTTGTTATGTAGGAAAATACAGTTCTCTACATTTTCTTTTACTTCATTTTCATTTCTTGCAATGCATGTTGTGGTTGAGGTATGTAGTGTCTTAGCTTGTCATCAGGTAAATTTGGTGCAGTTTTCCATAAACTCACTATTATATGGAAGCTCAGCAAAGAGAAAAAAATGAAGAAAAAATTTGAAGCCCTGTACTGGTGCTCATAATGTGTCTCTAAGTTATCCTTGTGAAAAAATGGTATCTTATTGCTTTCACCTTTCTGGAAAAGTGTCTTCAGGTGTATTTTCTTCCTTCTATGGAAGCAGCTGTTATAGAATGAAGGTTTCTGATGGCAATGTTAAGAGATGGATTACTGCTCCTGTCATGCCTGGCTCTAAAAATTGGCAGTTAAGAAGTTGCCTGCAAGAACAACATGACTTCCTGTGTTCTTGCCTTGGAGAGCCAGTCTTACTCCATCCACTGCCAGCAAGCAGTTGGTGTATATGGAGAAATTTCAAAGGAGAAGAGCAAGCCATCTTCATCCTGACCAAAAACCCTTTCTTTTATTTAGATTTTAGCCATATGGCAGAGTCTGCCAGACCCTGGCAAAATCTCCACTTTTCTTCTCTCTTCCTTGTAGAGGACAAATGCAATGCAGAACTTCAGCACAATGGAACAGTAGTGGAGGTCAAATGTTTAGAAACCTACACTGATCCTGCAGGTTGGGAAATACAGGGCTCCATCTGAACAACACCATAATGCAGAAAGAATGTGCAGTATTTTCCTTGGGAAGTATTCACATTATGAAATCTGATTTTTTTTTTTTTTTTTCCTCCTGTAGTTTTTCTGGAAAATCTTCCAGCTGTCTCAAAAAATGTTCTTACCTATTTCAGAAAAGATGGGAGGATTGAACATTTAACAAAGGCCTCCGTTCCCTAAATCATACCTAATGTGTAAAGAATGTTAATAATAACCAAGAAGAAAATTTCAAGGTGACTGAAGTCCCCTGTCCTAGCTGTTTAAATTTTTATCTTACAATGTTCTAATAGAACCCTTACACCACTGTTAGAATTGCCTAGGCTAGACAGTACCTGAAATTGTGATATTAAATCTAAATTGAAAGAATAATTAAAATTTTCCAGCTTACAAGTAGTCCGGCAGATACTGGATAAGCACAGATATATTCTGATTTACCTGACCTAAATTCCACTGATGGGTATATGGCATAATTTTCTTGTTTAATATTTTTTCTGAATGGTTGGAACTACATAAGCGTGTAACAGGAAAATGGATTTAGGTGGAATATAGGTTTGGTGATCTGGGTCAGAGTTGACAGTGTTTCAGTTATTCAGTTATATTTAAAATTACTAGTTTGAATTTCTTTAAATTCTGAAGCTCAAATATACTTATGTTCACATTTCATGAAAATATAACTTCTTTTCTTTCTCTTCAGAATATTTGCTTGACACACAAGGAGGATTAATTTTATCATGCCAAAAGAGATGTCTCTGCTTTTGTTTACCTTGGCTACTGAAGAGCAAATTGACACTTCTGTCTATGTCCTTTGAAAAAACCAATCATTGACTAAAAGCTGCTGTTTTGATCTTTGCCCATGTTCAGCCTGTTGAAGGCAGCAGCAAGTGACTTCCTGCCACAGTGTGTGATTGTGCTGGACTAAAAATGGGTAGAACTAGACTGCTCATGTAATCTGGTTTAACATTCTCAGCTGTGAGCTAGCACTGCAGGTTTGATGTTAATCCAGAGGTCCTCCTGATCTCTAATAGACTAAATTTTGTAGGTGTTGAACCCGTTTTTCAAACAAAGCTGAGATGCTGGTCTGAGGTAGTGGGATGAAACATGGAATGCTACTGAGTAGTAAACTCATACACAGTGTAATTGTACATAGACGTTGCAAGCTTAGTATAAGATATCTTCTATGTATAAGATATAAGATATATCTTCTAAGTATAAGATATTTAGTATAACTTATCTTCTTTTTAAGAATTTACAAGATAAATATACAAGACAGGCCCACTGTATGGGAGGATAAGGAAGACAGGTGACCCCAGAGAAGGGTACACAGGGACAGGAAGGAGTTTGAAAGATTACTTTTTTTATGACCACAGTGACAAAACTTGGAGAGGAGAAACAGTGCTGGCTGGGAACTTGGGAATGTGGCACACAGTTGCCTGTTTTAAGACATAATCTGAATGGCTGTGAACTTGGCAGTCTGGGCCTCAGCTCTTTTCTTATATGGATGTAGTAGATTTTTGCTGTAGATTAGAATGTTACGAAGGTTGATAGACCAAAGAGATCCTACAGTGATAAGAATATGTTCTTATTTATAAAGGTGGACAAGGTACAGGTATAGGAGAGGCTGAAACCAAGGATGAAAATCTTGAATCTTATGCACCAAAGTAGGAAACAGAGGAAGGGCTCAGAGACAAGGCAGGTGTAGTGATAAGATGTCAACATGGCCTGCATGTAGACGTGATCTTGTTCTACTTGTTCTCTCTGCTGCTTAGGTGTGAACCAGCCCTGGCTGCAAAACTTTGTTTCCATCTGAGCACTGTGTCCAGGCCAGTGGGATCTGATAGCATGGGCTTAGAACTGCTGAGTTCTGAGTGGCAGAGAGAACTTGGCTTTGTCTGCAGATGACCTGTACACATAGCTTCAGTAGGGAGAATGGAGTCTGTCATGGTCAGAAGTATTTTGGAGGCTTCAGGGGAAAGGGTCTGGTTGCAAGTCTAGGAAGAATGATGTCACTGGAGTTCATGCAAGTAAAAATAAAGCAACAGCTTCTAGCGGGGCTTACTTTTCTTACCTGTTCTCCTAATGTTTTCCAGAATTTAATTATCCTGGATCCTCTTGTAGTGAATGAAGAGCAAATACGTCCGTCCCTAGAGAAGCGCCTGGAGGCCATCATCAGCGGAGCGGCTTTGTTAGCGGACTCCTCCTGCACGCGGGATTTCCACCGGGAACGCATCATCGCCGAGTGCAACGCCATCCGCCAGGCTCTCCAGGACCTGCTCTCCGAGTACATAAACAATGTGGGTAGTCACACTTTTTTTTCCTTTTTCCAGTGCACGTCTCAAAGCCTGGTTTAGTGCGTATTAGAATTTAATCTAAAATGAGTGTAAATTAGTTTAACCTATATTTCTCAACATGCTCTTTAAAAGGCTGAAAGGAGCGTTCTTCTACACAAATCTAAGAAAAAGCTAAATATGGATCCCCAGAATGAGTACAAATCACATTATACAGTCTGTAGAAAATGCTGTGTTACATTGTGCACATTTAGGTTATTTTACGCTTATTGTGAACTGTCAGTAATACTGAACAGACTCCTTCATAATCCTTCAGATGCTTGCAGTGAGTTTCTTCCTAATGTCACTTCCTAGACCACCATTTTAAAAGGTAATCTTGTTCCTGTAGAATGCAGCAATCTAACAGTTTGTTAGAATGTAAGTGATCTGTTGGTATCATTTTAAAGTGCAGTATTCACACATTTCACCTGTGTAAGAGCACCAAGTTACAAAAATAGAAATACCAGTTGCTAGAAAGCTAGGACTGTTTGGTACATTCCAAAACTGGGTTGTCTGGCATGCTTATAGGCCAGTTCAACTGTGAATTTTTGGAAAGGAATATAGTTTGATTGTGTTTTAAAAAAAACACTATTGGATTTAAAATATGAATTTGGCACTACTCATGTCTGGCAGGTAAATGATAAAATGGTGAAAACTTGGATACTGTTAATATGTGGGTGCACAGTGTTAATACCATATGTTTCCCTTGGAAGTATTTTCTCTAGACGTACTATTCTTATCTAAAGATACCTCAGAATGATTCTTCAAGCACATTGAGAGATAATTGCCTGGCATAGTTATTTGTTTCTTTTCTGGGAAGCTGAAGGCTCTTTATAATCTGTAAGTCATTCTAGTTAACCCAGTCCAAAGGTGTTCTTATGAGACTATTTGTCCTATCCTATTGTCACTAGGATAATGAAGTGTAGGGACTAAGACAGTTGATGCATACAAAATGTTGTGTTTTTTTTTTTTTTCTTTCATTTCACAGATACTGTATTTATTTATACTTTTTATTTATTGAGAAGCGTGTGGAATATACAGTTGATTGATTTAATTTTGTGTGAGTTCAGTTACTTGCTCTTTCAGTCCCTATACCAGCTAAAGATGCTTTCATATTTTTACTCAAACACTTAGCTGCAGTTTCTGTGGAGTGCAACATGGTTCTTGAACCTCTCTGCTGGTGCTTTATAGATGAGTTAGCTAGTTCGGATTTCTTTAGCTCTGGTTAGAGTGGGATGTTAGTCTTTGATACCTTCGTATAGCAGGTATCTGTTGCAATAATCTGTTTTAGGGTGGATCATGTTTAGCAGTTGGACTGTATGATCTGAAAGGTCTTTTCCAACCTAAATGATTCTGTGGTTCTAACTTGTAGTAGCCAGAGCATGTGGGAGGATGCAGATGTATTGTATAGCAACCCGTATTTGCTCTGAAGATCACTGTGGATTTGTCACAAGAATGCTTTATGGGAATTCTTCGTTTTCAGGAGTAAAATTACATGACAGTAAGTCAAATGATCTTAAATTTATGGACCATTGCAACAAAATTTCAGAGGTAATTGTAGTTTTAGGCTTACATAATGCAGACAAAGGGGAAAAGAAGAATACATAACCCACTCCACTAACTTGAGAAAGTCAGGAAGCAGCTATTTAAATATGGCAAAAAGGGACAGTATTATAATTTGTTGCAGAACGTGGTCTGCACAATATGGCAAAAATGAGGAAGGAAGCAGAAAGGAAAAAACACAAAAGATTTAAAGGTATGAGGTGTTATACCGGGTTAAATGTCAGGAGAGAATTTAAAGCTTTTAGTTTCTTACAGTGCTCTTGATCTGCTTATACAATTAATATTGATCTCAATGGAAAAACTCTCACCAAGAATAGTTTATGGCTGTTACTGAGCCTGAATAACGTAGGGTTTTTCCATGAGAAGATTATCAGATTTCATTACTTTATTTCACAGCGGTAACTCACTGAAGAATACATGATAGATCCAGGAGACTGTACTAATTTATCATTGTCTTCTGGGCTCCTCTATTAATAAATTCAATAAACTAAGACTGCGAATTGAATGAGCTATAAAAATTATGCAGCCCTTTGTTAGCATAGTGCAATTTAAGGATCAGGTTGTGATTCTCCTTGGGAACACTGTTACACTGCACAGGCAATTGCACTGTCTGCATAATACTTCATGTGAGCTTATCTCATGGTATATTTGTGCCCTGTGCCCAGGATGAGAGACAGAGTCTCTGTACCACAGCTTGTACGTGAGAGTGGAAAGTTTTCCTTGCCCTCTATCTGTAAAGGGCATATGGATATAAAAGGGATATATTGGTTTGATTCACTTTTGTTAAGGCTTCTTCCTACCTGAGTGTTGCTAGTGGGAGCTGCATTGCTTCAGACACAGCATGCACAGCAAGTGCCACCTTTGCAAATCCTCGATGAGCTCCACTGACACCAGTAACATCCAGTGTATCTCTGAAGCCTCTGAGTCTGGTGCTGATGGTAGATGTGGCCTGCCTGGTAAGTGTTTGGCTTTAACAGGGTCATTCCCAAGGACTTTGCTTAAATTTTGTTCAAGTTCTGCATCATACGTTTTTTTGAAACTAGCCCTCAGTGCCCAAACAAATGTACAGGAACTTATGATTTAGCCCTATTTGAAACACTCTAAGGAATATAGCTTTTGTGGTGCCCAATTTCCTCTGTGTGTGTGTGTGTGTTTGTTTGTTTGTTTGTTTGTTTTTTTCTCTGAATTATTCAAACTCTCTAATAAGCCTTAAGGACATTGGGTGAAATCAAGGGCCTGTTGGTGTCAGTGATAAAATTTAAAGTTTTTTTTCTGCAAGCTGGGATAAACATCTTTTCAGCAGATACTGCCTTTTATGTAAATGGTTGTCCTTCACTGAACCTATACCACAGTGAGGTGATGCAATGGAAAGTTAAGCAAAATGTTCTCTACACTAATAAAGACCCACTCTGTCTCCAAGAAGCTTTTACTTTTTCTGTTCACAAAGTAATTCAGACATATAGTAAATTGCAAATATATTTATAATTCTTCTGAAAGGCAACAGTTTTTCTTCTGGTGCTTAGAATTATTTGTGTACTGTTGTTATTCTCTCTGAATTTTACTCATAAGCATGTATTGTTAAGAGATATATTTGCATTTCAAGACATGAAATAGCAGGAATTACTACTGTGAATTTGGATAGCTTATCAATGCAGAATGATGCTATGGTGCAATAATGTATCCATAGGAGCAGTCATTTTGTTCAAGTAATAAGCACTTGCATTTTCCTAATGACAAGCTCTTGTCTTGTCTCTGCTCATCCTTTAAAATGAAAAGTTATTGAGTAGACTGGAGAACAGCAATACCAACAACTGTTTCTTGCATTCTGTCTGCTTTTACTCCTAGTCACAGGAGGGATATGCACTTATCTGGGTGATCAAAAGGGAGGATAGAGTTGTGCTTGAGTGTGGGTTAAATGGGCTGTTGTGAGGAGCAATTAGGGTGATTGCAGGCACTGCTTTCTCTGCCATCATTAAAAGGGGAGGGTATGTCTGGATAACTATTCTGCACCCACCTGTGGGTTTGAATAAAGATCACTTCAGATGAGGCTGAAAAATGGTTGGTAAAGAAATGTCAGCTATACTGATGGCATGATAATTGCTTTCTTGAATTAGTTTCCTTACTTTTGGAATGTTTAATCATATTTGGACTTCATAAGTTTGCCAGCTTATTCTGGATATTAGTAGGATGTGTGTGTATATATATATACACACTGTTATGTATACTGGGACAATATACTTTGTCTTTTCTGAGAGGTTTTGATTTCATTTTTTCTTGTGTATTTCAAAAATCTTTGTTTCTTAACTGCATCTTTATATTAAAATTACCTAATTTTTTTTTTGTAAAATAATATCAGTAAAATAGTTTGCATTTTCATTGTAATTTTCAATGGTTTTACATATCTCTATATTTAAAAATACTTCTTTATTTAAAAACAGTTTCAAAGGAAAATCTGAAACATTGAAATCTGAAAATACATTTATAAAACCAATATTCCTTTGTTCTTTTTAAATGCATTAGCCAACTTCATACAGATTTGAATAACACCAATGCCACATAATAATTTGTCTTGTTGAATATTTCACACAAAATACACAGAAACATGTGACTGTGCAAACTAGCAGCAACTCAGTAATTCAGTCTGTAGTTCTGGGCATCCCTGTGCTGCTTGTGCCACAGCTATACGGTGTGTGTGGCAAGGAGCAGAGCCAAACCCATCCTCTTATGCCAGTAGTGCTTTCAGGCTCTTAATGAGACATCAAAGAAACTGAGAGGAGACTAATGATACATTTTATTTTGAGGACAGATCAGGAAGTGGACTGAAGTTGACCACATTGTACGTATTTATATTCCATATCTAGGATACTGACAGTCAAGCCCTGGCTGCCTGCGTAGCCTAAGGGCAGGCCAAGCTGAGACTGACTACAAATCTCATCTGCTTTGTGGCAGAGAGCAGTGGACTGCTCTAGGGGTGGTGCTGCAAGGGAGATGAAGCTGTTGGTGGCAGTGAAGCACCTGTATGACATGTAGGGCATACCTGAATCCCACTGGGAATGCAGTTGCTGGAGCTTTATGTCCTTGGGTTCCCTGAAGGTCCTCTGAAGCCTGTGGCTTTGGGACAGGTTTGTGTCCACAGCTTTGGGATGTGAGACATGTTTGGATTTGAGACGTATGTGAATCTGAGCACATGAACTGAAGTGGTGTGAGGATGAGACTAGGAGGTAGGGTGCCTGAAAGCAGGGGCACACCTGAGGCAGGCAGTGAGCTGGAGAGTGCTGAGCCCTGTAAGAAGGAGGTGTGTGGTACAGAGCCTGCTGTAGCCATGGGGAGGGTCCAGCTGCAGGAGACACGGCACAGTGGACACCTGGGACTTGAGCAGCTCTGTCCGTCTAGATTTCAAACTG